TCTCGCACCCCTCCCTGCCGCTCCCGGAAGCGGCTGCCGACGCGGCCCAGGCCGACCCGCTCACCGTCTACCTGGTCATCGCGCTGGCGTCGGTGTCTTCGCTCTTCCTGTTCTCGGTGCTGGCGTTCGTCGCGGTGAAGTTGTGCAGGAGGGGCAGGGCCGCCTGGATGAGTGGCAGCTCAGTGCCCGAGGGCCACTTTCCGGGCCACCTAGTGGACGTCAGCGGCACCGGAACCCTGTCTCAGAACTACCAGTATGAGGTGTGTCTCGCGGGAGGTGCTGGGACCAGCGAGTTCAAGTTCCTTAAACCCGTTATCCCCAATTTCCCACCACTGAACACTGAAAGGGAGGAAAGCCACATTTTTTTGAATGGCTTTGGTTTTAATTAGGGATTTGATTATTATGCAGAACTTTTAGAATGCGCGCTATTTCTTTGTAAAACTTTTTCATTGTAATGTAAAATTATTTTAGGGAACCACTTGAGAATTTGTATAATTTCAATAATTTAAATCTATTTTCTGTTTTTTATATTAACTGTGAGAAAACTAAAAGAGCTAGGATTTGCTTAGTCTTTCTTCCAAAATGCAACCTTATTTATTCAAATATACAGCATGTCCTTGAAGCTTAATTGCACACTCAGCTCAGTCATATACTCTGAGTGTTCTAGCCTCTAGATCCTCTCATCAAAAGTTTTTACATGTTTGATGGTATTATTATAGAAGAAAATGCATGGTATGAATAAAAACATAATTGCTTTGTTTTCCAGTTAGGTTGGTTTTTAATGTTATCTTTTAAAGGATTTTTTAAAGCATAATCAATCTTCCCATTCTACTCTTCTGACAAATAGTTCAGAGAAATTTTTCTGCATTAATATTTTGTGAACTGTTTCTATTGCTGGTAGGTGGTGTTGTCTTAAAATAAATTCTGATCTTGTTTAGATTAAGGCATATGTCCTAGCCTGCACTTCTTGTCTGAGAACTTCCTGGTGATATCCAAGAAAGGTAATTGCTATGGAGAAGTTTGTTCTTTTTTTTTTTTTTTTTTTTTTTACCTCTCTTGACAATTTTTGACTGGCCCAGTAATAGACTCCTGATTAAAGCAGGAATAGTCACATTCTCTAAACCCAAAAATTGGCAGTTAAGGTTCAGTTCATCTACTTCTTTCCTTGATTGCTTGTAACTAGTAAATAAATGTTAAGCATGAGCTTAAGTAGCTTCGTTCATTCTTGTGTAGTTTGGCAACATAGAAAGGCATCTAGAGAGGAAGGTAAGAAAGGAGTAAGGAAAGGAAGGAAAGAATAAAGGTGAGAAGGAATAAGGGAGTGGAGGAGGTAGAAGCCTAAGAAACAATAGAGACTAAGGCAGCTACTTGGTTCTAGACCTATCTGTTCCTGGTTTAGTGTCTATAAAGTCTCCAATGTCTAATTGTCCTTAATTCTACAGTAAGACTTCAGTTTCTTAATAATAAAACTTTTTCTTTAACTCATCTTGGGGAGGCTGGGGCCTTTCTCAAAACCAAAAGAGACAGGAAAGATAAATGCAGTCTTGAGTACTCAATTAGACTACATACCATCAAACCCTTCTTTTATTGCATGCTTCTAGTATTAATGAATTAAATAAAAATGTACAAGCTTAGAGATAATCTATACTAGAGAATTCTGTTGTAAAACAATTCTGTACATAATTTATGAGGTCTTTTAACAGAAAAATGCTACAAAGATTTTTATGTAATGACTTGTTAACACGTTTCCCTCCATTATTTCATGTGCCCCTGGATCAGTTTTAAAAAGTAGCACTGAAGTTGTTATTGTTTGGGTGTCTATATCTTTTCTCAGGATCATCATACCCTCCTTAGCACCTATTTCTTTTAAAAATTATTTACTGAGTTTAATGTGAACAGAATTATTTTATCATTTAATGTAAAATCTTCAACATCTACAAATAATCTGATTTGGTTATAGGGGTTGATTCCTGATTTCATTAAGAAAATAAATATTTGATTGATACATGCTGCTACTAGAGAGCCTCATGAAAAAGTTTTCAAGCTTCCCGCCAAGTCTACAGGCTTAAATTTTTCTCTAGAAGAGAAAAATAAGGTTTACTGACAGATGACAGATGGGAATGAAAAGCTAATTTTGATCAATTTGCTCACTGACATAGATACCAGCTTCTATCCACTAATATTAAAAAATGCATGAACATTTAGAGCATATTTTTGCACATTTAATTCCATAATAAAGAGTTTGGATCCATGACTGAAATTTTTCTATAAGGAAAATTATCAGATTTTAACTGTAACAAGCATGTTCTCATATTTTGAAGGTTTACTTAAATTTTTTCCCTATGTAGAGGAAAATATTCTAAAATACAAAGTCAATTTGAGTGATTTGTGTCTTAATGAAATTAAACCAATATTCAATACAATGATTACACTTGGGTGACACTAAGTTTTCCTAGTTAGCCAGGTAACTGGAGTGCCAGAATACATGATACTATTATTAAAACAATATTATTGAAATATTGGCTAAGGTATGGTGCAGTTGGGGAGACCCAAGGTCCCTGACTCCAAGAGATTTTTACCATTCTTAGGGGTAAAAGAATTGCAGTTCCATGTTAGGGTGCCAGGATCTTAAGCTATCCATAAGAGATACGTGAGTTGCTTGCTAAAAAGCAGTTGTGATCTTTTGTACTTGGGAATAAGTTTAACCTACTGTTTCAGATGAATCTAGCTTATTTTCTTCTGCACTTTAGTTTTTACCATAACCTTATCTTTGTGATCTTGACTTTCTCTGAATCTTAGCTTCAACATGTATGTATCTTAGTTTTAGTAATAGATGTAGATGCTCTTTACAAATCATTTTAGATAGTGTACCAGTCAATACAACATACGTACAGAGCTATAGGGATGTCCTCTCTAGACAACATTTACAGATAAATTATCCACAAGGCCTTAAGCTGTCTATTGGGTTTGCATAATAAACCAGCTCTAGCTAGTCTATTAATTTTATACTTCTGAAACATGTACATGAATTTCTTCATCTACTCTTCTGGCAATGAGTTGGGAGTTTAATGGTGTATACTTTTTTCTTTAGAAATAGACTGATAGCTATGCATCTTTTTCTACTCAGTTTCCTCCAGAGTACACGCTGTACATTATGGTAGACATTATATTGTAAACTCCATGTCAAAGAAGGTATTAGTATTTCCAGCACTTAGTACAGTATGAAATATAATATAAAATCAATGATTTTGTTGAATAAACAAATAAATATAGTTAGCTTTGTTCTTGCATCATTTCCAAAAGTGTCTGGCATCATTTCTACATTTATAATTTCACATGAAAATAGAAGTTACCATTTTATTTATAAACCACTCTATATGCAATCTGTGGTGGTTATTTGTGTATGTGTGCATAAATCTAAGTGGAACACGTTTTATAGCATTTCCAGCAAATTGAGCTTAAGTAAACACATGGTGGCGCTGTAAGCTAAGGCTGAGAAAATCAGACCTGCAGATGGGGGCAGTCATATACAGATCTAGGCGATGTAAGCTAATGCTGAAAAAACCTGACCTGCAGAAGGGACCGGCCGTATAGACAGCCTTCTAACAGAACAGGAATCTTAACCGACTTACCTTACAGCAAGGACAGACTGCCAGGACAGACTGCCTACAGACCCAACAGGAACCCCGACCCTAAAGACTTCTGGCGTTGGAGAAATGGAGGCTGAAGAGCAGCGCTTTCCTATACTAAGGCAAGTCCTGCTTCTCTTTGTTTTCCTGGCTCAGACTTGGGCGGAGCATGAAGGTTATAGTGTCGTAGAAGAAACGGCCACTGGATCTTTTGTGGCCAATCTAGCAAAGGACATAGGGCTAGAGGTAGGAATGCTGTCTTGGCGGAGGGCTCGGGTCATTGTTAACAACAACAAAAAACACTTTCAGCTGAACCTTCAGACTGGAGATTTACAAGTAAATGAGAAATTGGATCGGGAAGAACTGTGTGGTCCCACGGAGCCTTGCATGCTGCAATTCCAGGTGTTACTGGAAGAACCTTTGGAGGTATATAGGTTTAAGCTTTTGGTTAGTGACATAAATGACAATTCACCTGTGTTTCCAGAAGCAGAAATGACTTTGAAAATAATGGAAAATACTCTTCCAGGGACTCTGTTTCCCCTAAAAAATGCACAAGATTTAGATGTAGGCATCAATAACATTCAAAAGTACACCATCTACCCCAACTCCCATTTCCACGTTCTTACCCGAAATGGCAGTGAGGGCAGAAAATACCCAGAGCTGGTTCTGGACAAAGCCCTAGATCGTGAGGAACAGCCTGAGCTCAGGTTAACTCTCATGGCGGTAGATGGGCGA